TATACCTATAGACATGTATAGGCACCTATAGGCATATATAGGCACCCATATAGACACATATAGATACCTATAAGCACATATCAGCACCTATAGACACGCATATATATACCTATAGACACGTATAGATACCTATAGACATGTATAGATACCTCTAAGTATGTATAGGCACCTATAGACATGTGTGGAGATACCTATAGACACGTATAGGCGCCTATAGGCAGCTCCCAGGGTGGTGGGATCAAGGTGGAGATCCCACCCGGAGCTGGGCTGAAGTTCATCCACCCACCCATGGATGTCTCCTCAACTTCACCCACCCATGGATGTCTCCTCAACCTTCACCCACCCATGGATGTCTCCTCAACCTTCACCCATCCATGGATGTCTCCTCAACTTCCACCCACCCATGGATGTCTCCTCAACTTCACCCACCCATGGATGTCTCCTCAACTTCACCCACCCATGGATGTCTCCTCAACCTTTCCCATCTTTGCAACACCAGGAGGAAGATTCAACCCTGGAGATGGTTGAGTTCAACTCTAGAGATGACCAAGCCCCAAGTCTTGGTCAATCTCGAGATGTTTTGGGTTCAACGAGACCAAACCAAGGAGACAAGTGGTGGAAAAATTTATTGCAGAAGACTTCTCGCTTCTTTTTGAGCAGCACAAATGGAGCAAGAGCAGAAGGTGGAGTTGGGTTGTGTCCATCTCCATCCCTTAGATGTTCCTGGAACTTCTTCTAAAGCCCGTTGGACAACTCAAAGAGTTTCTTCATCCAAAGATGAACCACGTGGACCATTCCCACCCCACTTCTACCTTCCTGAAGAAGTCCCAAGCAGTGTCCATCATCGGTTTCTTCTCAACGTGGATCACCAGGTTTCTACCCAACGTGGGTCACCACATTTCTCCTCAACATGGGTCATCATCTTTCTTCTCAACATGGGTCACCATCTTTCTTCTCAACATGGATCACCAGGTTTCTTCTCAACATGGATCACCAGGTTTCTTCTCAACATGGGTCACCATGTTTCTACCCAACATGGGTCACCAGGTTTTTACTCAACATGGACCACCAGGTTTCTACCCAACATGGGTCACCATCTTTCTTCTCAATGTAGGTCACCAGGTTTCTCCTCAACATGGGTCACCATCTTTCTACCCAACATGGATCACCAGGTTTCTTCTCAACGTGGGTCACCAGGTTTCTACCCAACATGGGTCACCATGTTTCTACTCAACATGGATCACCAGGTTTCTTCTGAACATGGATCACCAGGTTTCTCCTCAACATGGGTCACCAGGTTTCTACCCAACATGGGTCACCATGTTTCTACTCAACATGGATCACCATGTTTCTCCTCAACATGGACCACGAGGTCTCTACCCAACATGGATCCTGCGATGAGTGATGAAGTTGGAACAACGGATGAAGCTCTTCCCACAGTCTGGACACTCATAGGACTTCTCTTCTCGATGTGTCCTTTGATGTTTAATCAAAGCAGAACTTACGCTGAAGCTCCTCCCACACTGAGGACATCCATAAGGTTTCTCCCCGGTGTGGATACGTTGATGGGTCATCAAGTTGGAGCTCCTGTTGAAGCTCTTCCCACAGTGAGGACAACGATAAGGTCTCTCACCCGTATGTGTCCTCTGATGTCTGATGAGATCCGAACTGTTTCTAAACCACTTCTCACACTCAACGCATCTATAGGGCTTCTCCCCGGTGTGGACACGTTGGTGGATGATGAGGCTGGAGCTTTGGCTGAAGGTCTTCTCACATTCTTCACACTTATAAGGTCTCTCCCCCGTGTGGATCTTCTGGTGACGGATCAAGTAAGAACTTACGCTGAAGCTCTTCCCACATTCAGGACACTTGTAGGGTCTTTCTCCAGTGTGGGTACGTTGGTGGGATGTCAAGTTGGAACTTTGGTTGAAACCTTTGCCACAATCAGGACATTTGTAGGGTTTCTCACCGGTGTGGAGACGTTGGTGGGTGATGAGGGTGGAGCTGTCGCTGAAGCTCTTCCCACAATGAGGACACTTGTAGGGTTTCTCACCGGTGTGGAGACGTTGATGGGTGATGAGATGAGAACTACGGCTGAAGTTCTTCCCACATTCCAAACACTTGTAGGGCTTCTCACCAGCGTGTAACCTCTGGTGGACCATCAGGTTGGAGTTACGGCTGAAGCTCCGGCCACATTCTTCACAGATGGTTGGTCTTTCCTCCTCCGAGCTTCGTGGGGTGGAACCTCTCCCTGTGGAGCATCTTCTTGGCTTTCCCTCTTCATTGACCTTCATGATGGAGCATCTTCTTGGCTTTCCCTCTTCATTGACCTCCTGCCCCATGGAGCATCTTCTTGGCTTTCCCTCTTCATTGACCTCCTGCTCCATGGAGCATCTTCTTGGCTTTCCCTCTTCATTGACCTCCTGCTCCATGGAGCCCTTCAAAACAACCTCTTCCACAAGGTTCTGCTGGTGGGGTTTCTCCTCCACGTTCTCCATCATCTTCTCATCACCTGATGGAGGAAGGAACAAGGAGAAGAAGGAGATTTGAATCCATGCCAGAGAGAAGGAGAAGGAGAAGGAGAAGGAG